TCTAATTCTAGACTCAAAAGAAGTAAATCATACTATCCAAACATAGTTAGTAAAGAAATGTGCTTTGTACTGGCCCCAGAGTCTAGTGGTACCACAAATGAGATGAAAAGGGAATCAAAACTTATCACTACAGAAAACCACCAAGCCACAAAGATAAACAAAAGAGCAAGAAAAGAACAAAGTATCTATAAAAATAACCAGAAGACAATAAAATGTCAGGAATAAGTTCTTATCTACCAGAAACAAATTTGAATGTAAATGTATTAAATTCTCCAACTAAAAGATATAGAATGACTGAATGAATTAGTAAAAAAAAAAAAAAAAAAAAAAAAAAGACACAACTATATGCTGCCTACAAGAAACTTACTTTTCTTGTAAGGACATACATAGGCTGAAAATAAAGAAACAAAAAATGATAATTCATGCAAGTGAAAGCCAAAAGAAAGGAGGAATAGCTATACTTACATCAGATAAAGTGGAATTTAAGTAAAAAACTATAAAAAGACAAAAAGGTCAATATACAATGATAAAAGGCACAATTCAACTAGATATAATAATTATAAATACATACACATGTAACTCCAGTTGACCTAAATATGTAAAGCAATCATTAGATCTAAAGATAAATAGATTGTAATATAATAAAAGTAGGGGACTTTAGCACCCCATTATCAGCAATGAAATAGTCCAGACAGGAAATCAACAATGCAACATTGGATATAAACTACACTCTAGATAAAATAAACATAACAGACATTTACAAAATAATCCATCCAACAGCTACAGAATATATATTATTCTCAACAGCACATGGCATATTCTCCAGGAAAGATTATATGTTAGGCCACAAGACAACTCTTCACAAATTTAAGATCAAAGTCAATCCTAAAAATAGCCAAGTGTTACATCAAACTAAAAAGCTTCTTCACAGCAAAGGAAACAACAATTAAAGTGAAAAGACAACCCATGGAATGGGAGAAAATATTAGCAAATTATTGCTCAGACAAGGGATTGCTATCTAGAATACATAGGGAGCTCAAGCAGCTCACCCATTTAAAAAAAAAAAAAAGATTAATTCCATTAAAAATGAGCAAATGAGCTGAGTAGACAACCCTCCAAGGAAGACTTATCAATGGCCAAAAGGCATATGAAGAAATGTTCAGGGGCCAGCAGGTGGTATGGTAGTTAAGGTGCTGGACACTATCACATGGCCGACACAGTTTGAGTCCCAGACCTGGTGGCTTGCTTTCTTACTCTCCTTTTCTGTGTCTGTCTGTCTTTCTCTGGTCAAATGAAAATAAATGAATGAATAAATAAAATTAAATAAATAATTCTTAAAACAAGAAAGAAAGAAATGTTCAGTCTCTTGTCATAAGGGAATGCAAATTACCACCACAATGAGACATCATTTAAACCCAATTATAATGGCTAGAATAAAAAAATAATAATAAAGGGGTCAACAGATGGTATAGTGGACTACACATAGTCGACCATGGTTCGATTCCTGGACCAAGTAGCTTGAAACTCAGGCCAGGCATGTATATGTGTTTATCCAAGATCCCAGAAGGAGAATGGAAAAGAAGGGATTGTGGCATGGCCATCCCTCCAGTGGGGTGATTTCTTACTTTCTCTCTCTCTCTCTCTCTCTCCCTCTCTCTCTCTCTCTTTCTCTCCCTGGAAAACACACATGTCCAAAGGCATAAACCTCTACAAAAAATAAAAATAAGGAATGACAAGTGTTAATGAGGCTGTGGTGAAAAGGGGAACTCTCTTCCACTGTTGGTGGGAATGTAAATTAGTACAGTCTCTGTGGAAAACAGTAGGGACGTTCCTCAAAAGCCTACAAATAGAAATACCATATAATCCAGTAATCACACTCTTTGGTATTTACCCAAAAGAAAGGAAAACAGTCAGTCAGAAAGACACTTGCGTATCTATGTTTATTTCAGTATTATTTGCAATTGCCAAGACCTGGTCTCGACCTTAGTGCCCCAAAATAAATGACTGGGTTGAAAAACTGTGACACATATAAACTATGGAATATTACTCAGCCATAAAAAAACAATGAGACCCTATTGTCTGATTAAAAATGGATGAACATAGGAGATGTAACGTTAAGCAAAGTGAGCCAAACTTTGACCTCTACCTGCAGTTATCCCCACTTGATCTGTACCAAATGTCTTCTCTCTATGTCAGAAATCAAAAGATCTGAATATATGATAGTAAAGAGGATAAGTGTAGATACTAGAGACTGTAAGGGAGGAGAGTGGGTGGTAGAGAATGGGTGGTAGAGGGTGGGTGGGAGGGGCAAAGGCAGGAAACATTTAACAGACAAAAGAATGTAAAGTTCACTGGTGAAAAAAGAATTCTGTAATTTTTGCTTTATAAAGATAAAAACTTGGGGCCAGCAGGTGGCAATGGGCTCTCACTTGGTTAACCATGTATTTAGTCCTGGACCTAGCAGTTTACTTTCTCTCCCTCTGTCTCTCTCTAGTCAAATGAAAAATAATAATAATAAATAAAATTAAATGAATAACTCTTTTAAAAATACTTAGTAAATAAATGAAAACTTCAGGGGGCCAGCAAGTTGTGTGGTTTTTATGGTGCTGAACTTTCATATGACCAACTACGGTTTGAGTCCTGGATCTAGTGACTTGAAAATCAATCCAGGCACCAAATTCTGGGACAATAACAAAATTGTGACGGAAAAAGAAGGTGATGAGCCAGATACCAAAGTTTTCAATGAATAAGGAGGCATAATCAGAAAGTAGATGGCTATCTTTTTTCTTTTTTTTTTGGAGAGATTTTCGCTATAGGGCGCTTGCGCTAACCAGACAGAGACATAGAGACAGAAAGCGAGAAATCACCCCCCAGGGAGGATGATCACGCCTCAATCCCTTCTCCTCCATTCTCCTCTCGGGATCTTGGACACGCACGCACATGCGCCCAACGTGAGTTTTAAGCCACCGGGTCCGGGACGTGAACTGAGGTCGACTACGTGGGAGTCCAGTGACATAGCCATTATGCTAACTGCTGGTTCCCGAAAGTAGATGGCTATCTTGAAGCTTAGAGAATGATATAGCAGGGCCAACAGGTAGCATGGTGGTTAAGGGCATTGTACTCCCACATGGCTGACCAAGGTTTGAGTCCCAGACCTGGCAGCTTACTTTCTCACTTTCTCACTTTCTCTCTCTCTCTCTCTCTCTCTCTCTCTCTCTCTCTTTGTCCTTCTCTAGTCAAATTAAAACTAACTAAATAAAGTTAAATAAAAAATAATTCTAAAAAAAAGAGAGAGAGAATGATATAGCTATTTCAAGTAATAGAAGCTTCCTAGGAACTTTATAAGCATTTCATTGTGATCCCTAGTCATTTAGGTGTAGGATGTAAAAATAAAGGGAAGTGAGAAATCTGGCCAACTGAGTTTTACTAAAAAGTGACATAAAGTAAGGTAGTTCTGTACATACTGGGATAATGTGAGGCAGAAAACAATAGTGTTCATACTTTTTTTGACCTTGAAGTAGGCATGGAGTTTGAGGCAAATACTCACCTATTATTATAGATGTGTCAAAACAAGAACCAGCTTGAATTTCTAACTAGGTTATCTTCTTTGCTTTTTCTTGTATTTTTCTCTAGCTTATTGGAATAGATTGTTTAAGTCATCTTGGAAAATCTATAGATCTTCTATGTACAAACCAGAAGCCAGTCCTGTGCTATTTGTGGGTGATGTGTGGAAGTTATAAAAATAAAAAGTTGTTATAAGTAATTTAGTTGTTCCAGCTGTATGAAATGGAAAATCAATGTCTGTTAGTTGTGCCCTGTTTCTTGTTCTATGGACAACGTACAGACTGTGTGGGTCTGGGTAGAGAACTTTAAAGAATCTGCTTACAAATTTAAATTGCTAGGTTGTCTCCTTGATAAACAAGGTTGTGGCAGATATATGTCTAGTGTAAAAGAAGTAAGTAACCACCACCAGAATAGTGCCTAACCAGACACTTAGATGCCTAATGTTTAATTTTATAGCTTTTGACTACATACTAGGTACATTAGGCAATTTGTTTAATGACCAAAATTAACAACACTCCTCCCACATAAAAGTGTCTTCTCCCTCCCTATCTTTTCTATCTTTCTTTTTATAGATTCTTTATATAAACTTTCCAATTTGTAATCTAGTTAGGGACTTTTTTCCTTACTTAGTTCTGGGCAGTTGCTGTAATCATTTCTCACTTGTGTCTTCAGCTCTGTAAATGGATTAAATTTACATTTATTTGCTTGTCTGTATATTTAAAGTCTCTTTTATATTTATTTGTTTGTTTATATATTTATGTATTTTCCATGTAGACCCCTAAGTAGTTCATACAACTGAGTATTTGGAATAATAAGCATTTGGGGATTTTTGTAAACTCTTCAAATAACAAATATTTCTATAGTTTTTTTTTATCTATTTTGCTGACCAGATAGCAATTAAGTGTAAATTATTCTATAATATCTATTTTAAATTATTCATCTTGTTACAAAATAAAAATGAAAGAAACTTTAAAACCCTCTTTTAAGTTACAGTACATTATTCCAAGTATGTGGGAATTAGTTTCGGAAGAGACATTTCCTGGAGGACAAAAAAAAAAGGGAAGGTTGCATCTCCAATTTAAATACTTCCTTGAGTTCATTTTCATAATTAAGTCACCCTTTTCAAATTTTGTAAGTGGGCCAGCCATGTAGCCTAGTGGTTAAGGGAACCAAATCCACATGGCTATCTGCAGTTTGAATCCTAGCCCTGAAATCTTGGAAGTGGCAGACGTGTGTGTGTGTTTTATCTCAGCAGGATGAAGACATGGAAGAGAAGGGATTGCAACGTAACCATGCCCCATTTCTCCACCTCTCTCTCTCTCTCTCTCCACAAGCACATGCATCCTCTGGCAGTTAAAAAGATCGGTAACTATATTATTTAAATAACCTGCAAAAATTGAGAATTTTCTAACTACATGTTTTCTGCTTTTTTGTAGAGGAACTATGATGAGAAGGCCTTATGAACCAGGAATATTTTGTACTAAATGTGGCAAACGTGACAGATGCACAGATTTTCTATGCAGTAAGATACAGAAAATAACTTAAACATGAAAAAGAAATCCATTATGCATTGGACAGCTAGAAAAATGAAGTGATTGAATGCTAGTTTTTCATTGTTTTGCTAATTTTGTTCCTTTGGTTAGAATGCTATTATTATTTTCAAAGGAGAATTAAAACGGTATCATCTTTAGCTGTTTCAAAACTGCAGAATTTTTTCTGCTTCCTCTTATGATTATTCCTCATCTGGGGACATACTAGAACTTCAGAAAGAAGGAATGAAAACAGTTATACTCTGTAAAATCATCACGGCTAATTACTGAAACAGCAGCCTTTTTTTTAACAATGATTTCTTTAAAAGATAAGATATTCCAAAGTATTAGTAAAGAGAAAAAGAGCAAAGTAGGAAATGTTTAGTAGTCTTCTCTTTTTGTTTCCACAAAAACTAAAATTCCCCCCAATACTCAGGAAGCAAAAAGTAGAAAATGTTTGATTCATTTTACTTCTTAGAGTTTTTCTTTTTTTTATTTATTTTTACATTTTTCACAAACATTTACTTTACATATCAGAAAATTTTTGCTCAGACTCCATAGTTCTTGACAGTTAATGAACAGCTTTCAAAATTTCAGAATACTCAATTTTAAACATAATGTTCACAATATTTCTTACAACTTTGTGACTCTATATAACAACAGAAACAGTATGGTTTTAAATATTTTTGAAAATATTTACATGTCAACTACACAAATTGTTGAAAAGCAAATGTCCAGCACATAAGTCACACATAAATACCTTGTCAATTCATTCCCGACTACCAGATATTCTGTGATATACCATCTGCTAGCAAAGATCAGTCTCTTTTTCTTCCTTCAAAGTCTTTCTCAAGATAATTCTCTGGTGTGGTTGCTCTGTTGCAAACTCTACTGATTACAATGCTGGGCTGGAAAAGTCTGCCAGGCAAAACTATTTATGGTACCAGGTCATCTTTCTAAGAGCTTCTGTTGGCTTACTTGAGATCCACCTTAGTTCCATAGTTTCCTGATTAATCTTCAGGCATGACATTCCAGTCAAAGCCGTGTCCAATAATGAGATTTCCAATTTCTGATTCAATGCAACAAGCATTATTAAACATATGTAAATAACCCTTCTGCCACAAAATAAGAATACTCCCAAACATTTTCCAATTACAGAGGGGTCAAGAAGGAAGAAAAATTTATGTTTCCATTTAAAGAAACAAACAAGAAAAATACTTTAACAAATTGCTGAACCCCAATCAACAGCTCAAAAGAAAGTAAAATGTTTAAATTGGGTAAACAAAGCATAGTAAAAAAAATCAGTAACATTTTACTCAAAAGTCATAAAATTTTATTTCTCCACTTCACCCTTATGTTCAAACTCTCTCCTGTTGAATATGCAGTGTTACTGTGGTCCAATCTTTCTGTTTAAATCCTAGAAGTTAACATTCATCATTATTATTGGTATTTCTTGTTTCTAGCATTAAATTGGTCATTTTCTTGGTTGCTTTTCATTCTCTTACTTCTGAATGTGTCTTTATTTTCTTGGTAGAACACTCCTTTCAGAAGAGAGAGACATAGAGACAGAAAGCGAGAAATCACCCCCCAGGGGGGATGGTCATGCCGCAATCCCTTCTCCTTCATTCTCCCCCCGGGATCCTGGGCACGCACGCACACGTGCCTGGCATGAGTTTTAAGCCACCGGGTCCAGGACGTGAACCGTGGTCGACTACGTGGGAGTCCAGGGACAAAGCCATTACTCTAACTGCTGGTTCCCTGTTCTCTTATTTCTGTATGTGTCTTTAGTTTTTTTTTGGTAAAGCACTCCTTTCAGAACTTCTTGAAGAGTGGGTTTGCTACTGGCGAATTCTTTCAGGTCTTGTTTATCTGAGAATGTTTTTATCCATTGTTTCCATATGAAAGATTAATCTTGCTGCTTATAGTATTCTTGGTTGAAACTGCTTTTCACTTAACACTTTGAATACATTTTCCTGTTCTTTCCTTGCTCACATTGTTTCTGATGAGAGGTCTGAGGTTAGCCTGATTAGATAACCTTTATAAATAACCTGACATTTCTCTCTTCCCAATTTTAGTATCTTGTCTTTGTAGATTTGGCCCGTCTGACTATGATGTGCCTTGGAGAAGATCTTCTTGGGTTGATTCTGTTAGGGGTCCTTTGTATTTCTTGGGTCTGGATATTTGAATGCCTCTCTAGATTTGGAAAATTTTCTTCCAAGATTTCATCAAATAGATTATCAATGCCCTTATTAGTTTCCTCACTTTCTGGGATACCGATTATCTGGATGTTTGGGCGTTTAATGCTGTCTAGTATTTCTCATATAGTATTCTCATTTTGGGGGGTTATTTTCTCAGGGTTTTTTTTGCTGTTTTTTCTAGATCAGAGGTTTTCCCTTCAACATCCAAGATTTTATTTTCTGCATGGACTAATCTGCTTTTAATACTTTTGAGGGAGTTTTTGATTTCCTGAATGGCAGCCTTCTCTATCAGGCCCATTTGATTCTTCTTTATGGTGTTTATTTCCTCTTTCAGATTAAGGAAGAACTTCAACACCTCCTGGAACTTGTTGTCTCTTTTCGCCTGCATCTTGTGGAGTTCATTAGCTCTTAACTCTTGCATCTCATTTAGTTTTGTCACTATGAATATTCTGAATTCTCTATCAGACATTTCTATGAGTTCTACTGTACTGTCTGTGGATGAGGAGGGATTGTTCTTTTAGGGGAGAGATATTTTCTTGGCTTTTCATGTTTCTTGTGCCTCTGCGGTGGTTTCTGGTCATTCTGTGACAAAATCTCTCCTCCACTGTGCTTCGTAATGTAGTATCCACAGAAAGAGATTAGGAGTTCAGATTTATAAAAAGAAATTTCTTCCTTAAATCAGGAGGTTCAATAAGCACTGAGGATTTCAATGACTCTGAAAGTATTCAGATGCTTGGTCACTGTGCACCTGGGCCTATCTAGATATTCAGGGTGCAGGGTGTGGAGAGTGAAGCTTAGAGTGGGAAAGTAAGGTTAGAACATAGCTTCCCTGAAGAGGCCAGGACACACCTCAGCTTTAACATGACTTTTTGTCTGAATATTTCAGGAGTCTAGAAAATGGAGTTTAGAGCATAGCTTCCCTGAACAGGTCAGGACACACCTCAGCTTTAAAATGGCTTCTTGTCTGAATATTTCAGGAGTCTCATTTTTTAGATTTTTAAACATAAGTGCTTATACTTCAAAGCATAACTATATCTGGACTATTCAATGTGTAGAGGAATGTATAAAAATAAATTCAGACAGTGAGAAGCATAATATTCTTTTGTGCTTAAAAAAAAGCTACCAGACAGTTTTGTTATAACACGACCCATCCTAATACTTCTGTTCTTGTTTTACTTTTATAAAAATGCAAAGTCTTGCTCTTTCTCTTCCTCTTCCCTTTTTCATTGTCTCTAGAAATTCAGTACTAAAACTGCTTGTAGTTCAAAGGAAGGTTAGTATCCACACAGAGGGACCGCCAGATGTGATACATTAGAGCCTAAGTGAGATGACAGAGGATCCTCACGAGGTGCAATGAACATGAGGATATGGCCTAAGCCAACTGACCATGGTGACCACATGGAAGTGTGGCCTACATGGAAAATCAGAGGCCTCACGGAGCGGTGTGTTTTTACATGTGATCAAGGAGTATAAGAGCCAGAGCAGGAAATGCACACCAAGTCCTCTGGGATGACAGCATCAAGCTGGCAACTTTTTTCTGCCTATCTTTATTCAAAATAAAAGTTATTTGTACTTCTTGAAACTTTTCTGTAGTTAGGGATTGTTTCACTTCTTTTTAAATTTCTCAAAAAAAAATTAGAAAACTTCAGATGAAAGTATGTTCATGCAGGGATAGTTCAGTATATGGTGTCTGTAGCTGAGCAGGTTGAGGAAAGCATCACATGGGGTAAGAAGGGAAAGGCCGGGCATAGAGTATCAGAGTCTGAACAGCTGAGGGGCATCCATGGGAGGGTGGTCTGGCATTGGTTGGTTGATGGAACCCAAGCAGAATGAGGGGGAAATTTCACATACAGGGATGACTTAACAAGAAATTTCACAACCTAAGCAGGTAAGGGGACATCCATGCTTAGGGGCAACTTCATGTGAGCTGCTGCAGTCCAAACTAGGTGAGGAAAGCTTTCATATGGAGAAAGTGATGTGGCATGGACCAGTACTTGTGGGATAAGGAGGGAATCCAAACATTGGAAAAGCCCAGAGCTGGGTTTCAAAATCTGAGCAGGACCAGAAGGTGTTGAAATGGAGATCCAGCCTGTAGGATGGCAGATTAAATACAGAATACCCAATTAAAGTTGAATTTCAGAGAAATAATCATTAGGGTAATTATGTTCTAAACATTGCATGAAACATACTTATACTATAAAATTATTTGTTGTTTTCTGAAATTCGAGTTTAACTGGGAATTCCTTACGTTTATTTGGTAAATCTGACCACTCTATCTGCCTGGTGTGGGGTATCTAGCTCAGGCAGGCCACCTGTGGGAGAGGGGACAAAAGCAATGAGGGCAATTGGAAGTATACTGAGGGATCAAATAAGTAAATGAATAAGGATACTGGGGGCCATTTTTTTGTCACTGTCAGAGAATGGAGTACAAATACGAAAAGGAAGAAAATAAAGGTGAATCTTTTGGTAGTGAATTGGAATTAGATATATTAGAACACACAGATTCCAATTAAAATAGATAAACGTATATGTAAATATATGTATACGTCTACACACATATATTCTATAGACCGCCTTGGAGAAGTGACCCCAAGAGCAATAAGCATAAGTGGCACCTAGATCTTGGTTTCTAAATTTCAGTCTGTAAGAAAAGGAACCAGGGCTCATTAGATCAAAGCCTGCTTCCAGTGCTAGAGAAGAGAAAGTATAAGATGAATCCAAAATATCTTTTTTATAATTGAAGTAAGTATTCAAAGAATGATGGGAACATACACCAAAAAAGCATAGATACCATC